CCGTGGGCGAAGAGACGCCCACCCCCTCTTGGCAGCTCACAAAATCCTCCCTTGATTGTACAAGGGACAGCGAGCCGCCACGCGATAAGCGGGGTTTGCACGACAGTTTTCGAGTATCTGTAAAAGTTGTTGAGGTGTTGTACGGGGCATGAGTTGTCATGAGTTGTCATTGATTTTCATATATCACGTATGACAGCAGAACTGGGCATCTGAGACAGCGCCATTTAGAGAGGAAACGTCGGTTCTGCAGGCATGAGGCAGATGAGGACTACTGTACAGGTATAAATTATATCCCTGCCAACACACAAGGGGTGCAGATCAGTGCGAGATATGTCGTTGTGTCTGGTTTTTCTTGTTGGAATTAGAAACTTCTAGCTGCGGGCCTTCGAGAGGCATAAGATGGTGTTCACCCGTAGGTGTACACCAATTTATTCTCATGGAATAAGTAGGATATATTTCAAGTGCATAAAAATCTCACAGTTTTGTTTTGAGATATAATTTGTTATGGCCCTGACAGAAGCATACAATGTTGATGCATCAGAGATTACGGCGATAGTTCCAGTTCTTAAGTATTGGTTGTTTGGTCGTCAGTAATGTCCTTTCGAAAACATGTTTTCTGGAACACAGCAGACTAGTCTAGTGCTTCGTGTCCAGCGTCTAGTTGCAGTATAAGATTCTGTTTGCTTCTTGTAAGGCTAGCCTTTCTGTGACAGAAACCTTATTTCGCCAATTGCCATGTCAGTTTGAACATCTTTTCTGCAACGTATTTTGCCCTCGACAAAGAAACCTCGCGCCACATCGGGATACTAGTTGCAAGTACATTGAAAGGCAAAGAATTCCCTGAAGCTTAATGAGTTGATTTTCAAACTCTGTATTTTCATTCGAAGATACTGTTCTGAAAATCTATGAGTCGAAGGATGCTCAAAAGTTCTTCTTTTTCATGAAGTGTCTGAAAAGAAGGGCTCTCTTTTGCTGGGATGTGGTCTGTTCCAGCGATGGGGCCACCTCTCCTATTCATATCGAGCAACTTAAAGTCGAGAAAAGGAAGTTAGAAAGTGATCTCCTCTGAGGTTACTAAGACACTAGTTGAGACAATGTTTGAAAATGACGCTACTATTAAGTCATTTTGTTTGTAGTTATCTGCGTTTGCATTCGAGACCATCGGAGCTTGAATTACAATGAGTAGCTAATGTCTATCGGACCGTTGTCCTCAGTTGAGGTTGCCTCACTACTTTTTTCTAGGCTTGCGCTTTCTCGATCGGAAGGAAAAAAATACTCTCGCCACCGTACTTGAATTTTGCTTTGCAGAAGGAAAGATGTTGAGAGGAATACCCGTCCTTTGCAGTCGTTTTAGAAATGCTCAGGAACCAATCTTTTGAGAGCAACCTTGAAAGGATTTGTACTGATATCCTCGAGAAAAATACCTATTTAAACGAGCAACTGGTTGCTACAACCCTACTTGAGAAATAATCTTTCATTTTATTCAACCTGTTATCCCGATTTCTGCAAGACATTATTGCTGATGGTAAGTACGTTCAAGGCATGCTGTCCAAATTGATTATACAATTTCAATTTCATGTACAGTAGACCCCTCTTCAAATGGCACCCCCGGTCATTTTGCCAAATAGTGCGATACTCACGTGGTGCACAGGGGGTTTTTAAGTGCTCCACCATTGACGTTTGCCCCTTCACTCTATTGTTTTGTCTATGAAACGCATTAGATAAGGCTATTTTCGCTCTGCGGATGACATCGCAAACAATTGCTTTCCCTACATTTACCACATTCAATTTCACTTCTTTGAAAGCACTTGATTTCATAGGGGTTGCCTGGCTGAACAGAAAACGCCTCACTACATCTTGAGAGAGAGAGAGAGAGAGGTAGTCTCTTTCGTGCCCTTTTAAAATGTTGTTGATTGAAGGAAGTCATGCTTTGCAGCCTTAGCTTCCGTCGGGGAAGGGGTCATGATGGTTTATCACGTCATCGTCGACCAAATGTACTAAGAGGCTGACACGTGTAGGTAGTCGTGACATGGAGGAATGGGGTGCGATATCTGCCGCCGTACACTATCAAAAAGTGCGATATTGGGAATCCCCCCTGTATATATTTTGTGGAAAAAAAAGGCTGCCCTCGTTTGAGGACAAGATCGCTCTCATGAGGACAAAGTCGGATAGACCACACGCTAGCCTCTAGCTAGAAAGTGAGAAGACAAACGTGCAGAACAGTTCATAGTCATCGCCCTCACAGTAAAAACCGAATAGCTTTCCATTCACCGAATAATTTGCGTCTGAGACTGGGAGACTAGATTCATGGTTCTGCTGGAGGCTCTTTCAGCCAATCAGAATGCATCGCTTCGGTGCTCAAAATAAATCAGCGATTTGGATGTAGACAAGTGTGCACTGAAAGCTTGCTATTGGCGCAATGCATAGGGCATGAAGCCTCACTATATGAGGCGAGATTGCAACCCCTTACGTCCTCGCAATTGGGATGCTCGCTCCCAGTTCGCCTCGAACGTATGCATGAAGCGTATGTAAACGTGTGTAACAGGCAGCTCAAATTGCGGCTTTGTGTGTGGGAGCCTGCAGTCTCACACCAGAAAGAGTCTATCCACGTCTAGTGCTGTTTGGTTTCCCAGTTGAAGCCATGGCGAATAGGTCGGTCATGGCATCGGCGTTCGTTTTGCATCCAGGGCTTTATTCGCGAAGCGCTTTTGCTTCTCACCAAACCTGCGGAAAATTGCCAAAACGAGTCAACAATCGAGTTCAGGTCAGAGCATGCATACCCAACGAAAAGCGCGAAACTCCACCAGATGCAGAAGTATCACTGACAACGCCCAAGGCAGACAACAGCGAGAAATCTTCCAAGACAGCACAGATTGCCGCAATGCTAGGGCAAGACACGGAAAAACTGAAAGCAAAAGCCGAGCGGCTCAAGCAGGAAGCAAAAGCAGAAAACCGGAGAAAGTACGGTCTAGCCCTCACCTCGATCATTGTTAGCAGCACACTGTTCTTCACGCAATATCTCGACCCTAACTCCGCCGTCAATCTCATGGAATATATGGCCAAATCGAGCACTCCGGTGAGTGTGATCGGCACGAACGGCAAACCTACAATCATCGAGTTCAGCGCCACCTGGTGTGAGAATTGTAAGTTCATGGCCCGCCGCGTTTTTGAATTGGAAAATGAATACGCTGGGCGCGTCAATTTTGTGGTCATTGATGGGGAAGACCCACAGAGAATGGAAGTAGTTGATAAATACGGTGTAGATGCTATTCCGCAGTTTTCTATGATTTCAAAGGACGGCAATGTGCAAACAAACCTCGTTGGATTGGTGCCAAAAAGTGTCCTCGCTTCCGACCTTGATGCATTGCTGAAGGACGACATACTTCCTTTCAAAGGAATTGCGCTAGAGGAGTTGAGAGGACCATAGATACCTAGGCGTACGTGTCTATGTATATTGGTTCAACCTGCAGCTTCCTGCGACAGGCGGTAAATTACCCGTCACCAAGTGCACGGTGATTGACTCCAAAATGCGTTTATTGTTCCCCTGTACTGGAATGGAATTTTTTGTAAGCTATCCCCGACATAACCGAATTGTGCCATGGTCCATGTGAACGAAAACGGCAAGCCCAGTCTTATCGGCAGTAATAGTCAGTAGCCGCTGCTCTATAGCCCTCTCTGGGGCGGCTTTGTAGCAGATAGTATTCCCACAATTCTATGCAGAGCACACTGGATTGAAATTAAGTCCTTGGACAAAGTCCGGCGCGAGCCGTATGCTCGGTAGATGTGGAAACCTCCAATATATTGCTTCCCGGCATGCAATGTAGTAGAGGACCTGTCACACCTGTGTTTCGAAGGTCTACCCTTGGGTAGTGTCTATCGGACCGTTAGTCCTCATATGAGAACAAAAGTTTTGTCATTTTTTCTAGACAACCAAACTCGCGATTTCACTTCTGTTCTTTGAAACCAGAAGGCCATCACCACGGGTAAAGCGTTTGCTTGTCGATTCTAGTGAAAAGCAACTCGTTGATGCATATAAAGGTGTTCAAAAGAAAAAGTGAGCATACTGTAAGCATTTTTCTTAAAGCTAACTTTATGCCAGTAGCATAGAACATTGCATTGAGGGCTTTCTATTCATTTTTAACTTCAGGAAAAAGTTAAAAACCAGTCAATCTACCAAAGAAAAATTGAAACCGTGGCCATCAAAGTTGAAAAGAAATAAAATTCGCAGATTTTTATGTTGTGATAACGCTTGGTCGGATAGACACTAGAGGGGCGGGTAGAGTCTTTCTTCCAGCCTCTTTCGCGGCTAATCATTGTACCTTTTCCTGTTCTCAAAATGAGGACGGGTTCAGGAACCACTTCGCCAAAAACCAAGATCGCGAGGGACTGGTTTGGAAAGAATGAATACCGCTGGAAATGACACGACCAGAGATGAACTGATACCACTGAATCCTGCTCTGGTGATGCGAGCACATGGCAGAGCACTGTGGGCATGCCTACCCTTCTGTCTCTGTTGAGGTTACCTTGAGCTACCAATGCTTTTCAATTCATTGGTGCTTCGCATTTTTGGCGGGAGAAACAATGTACACGTGTACCACGGCATATGATCAACCTCACCTCATAACATAATATAATATGAGGCATACGTGTACGCGGCAGTATCATAATATGATCCTGCCGCGTACACGTATGCCTGGCAGGCAAAATGGCCTGGGCCAGGGAAGGCAGGCGGCGTTGAGCTTCGCAATTCCAAGAGGAGACAAGTACGCAAGAAGGTCTAAAACCCGTCGCTTGAACACGGTTCAGATGCGAGTTGTCTGACGGGTATGCGCGAAATCGCACTTGTTACATCGGGGGACTACAGATTCTGGCGTTCAGTGACACAGAAGTCGATGCCCAGTACTTGATACGCGAAGGACTAATCTCTTGCAGACAGCTTTGCGAAATCAACAGCATCTTTTCGGCGTGCGTCAGTGCCTACTCGAGAAGTGGACCACAGGATGGAGTATGAACCGGAAATTCCCCAGCCACGTGAGTCAGAAACCCTGCTAATTGTCGTGGATACGTACGTCACTGAACCATCAACATTCTTGTCTCTAAGAGATGCGGCAATGCGAATGGCGCGTACTCGTCTTCTCTATAGCTTATTAAGGGATGACTTGCTCGCAGTCATCGCGTCCGGCTCGTCCACGACGAAAAATAAACTCGCTTCTGAGAACGAGGGAGGGTATTTGGGCTTGTGTGTGCTTCAATCACCCGTATCGAAGAATCTCAATGCTGTGCGCGTCCTTGCAGACCTGAAACAAGGGATGCAGCCTAGTAATTTACTGAATGCACTGGAAGTCTGCGGAGACACTCTTTCTGAACCCGCCGTGACCCGTTCGAAGAAGAAGAGGGTCGTATTATTCACAGATGCTTTACAAATCTCTAAATCGCTTTGTCCAGATGATGTTGAGGACTTTCAAGCGATTTGCGAGCTCTACAAAGCACAAGAAATACAAATAGATGTCATATACGATTGCGAACAGCAGCTTGTGGAGAAGCTGCAGGAAATTGAAGAAGTGGTCGAAGATGCCGACTTGCTCTCAATCAAAGACTGGATGAACAAAACGAAGGGCTTTCAGTTATCCCATTTGTTTTCTCTATGCAAGTTTTCGGGAGGTGTTTTTATGTCGCGAAAGGAAGCTTCTCCGCTTGTAGACATACCGACGCCGAAGGTCAAAAGGGCTACGGCAAAGTATCGGGGCACTCTCAACATTGCAGACGTTGTCAAAATTCCAGTGATGCGATACAGCTATGTCTATGCGTCCACACCGGTCACCCCGAAGAAATTGTCTTGGGAAGCTTCCACCAAGTGCATTAACCCGATTCCGGTTTTTGTTGAAACTCAACGCGTGGCATCAGCGAAAGACGATGCGCCACTGAAGCCAGAAGAGATCATCAACGCGTATCCGTACGGCCCAGAATTGGTCCCCGAACAGAATGAAGTAGACACATACGCATGGTCCATAGTTTTGCCGAAAGGACTAGATATACTCGGTTTTGTCGAACAGAATTCCGTTCCTCAGCGACTTTTCATGGGCCGAGTGGACGTAGTGATAGCGATGCCGAGTGTGCCAGGAGCTGATGAATTGATGAAAACTTTGGTGCTGGCAATGCAAGCAGAGAACGTTGGAATCTTGGCACGATCTGTTACCACTAAGAAGGGAGGGGCTCCGAGTTTGGTATACCTCTGGCCCCGTGTCGAGGCTGAGAGGGAAACAGGTGCCTTGCGAAGCTTCTTTCTTTTTCAAGTGGAGATTCCGATGCGTGAAGATGTTCGTGATATGCCGTTTGCGTCCTTAATGGAAACAGCGGAAGAAATCCCAGAGGCCGCTGATCTTGCCATGTCACGATTTATTTCTGCAGCAACATTGGATGTAGAGGCAGAGCACGGGGATGGAGATGAAGACGACCGCGAAGAGCCCGTGTGGCCCTCGGAGATATGCAACCCGAATCTTGATTGGAACAACATCTGCATTATCCATCGGGCTCTTGCTGGTATATCTGGTGCAGATTTTCCTTCTCTTACTGAGTGGCAACAGCACCTGATAAGCCCGCTTTCGTTTATCGGAGATAATAGGAAGGAGGGCTTGCGCAGCGCAATTCTGAACCTGAAAAGCGCCATTCCTGTGATTCCCGCTCAAAAGAAAGAAAAGAAAGGAAAGAGAACGCATGAAGTCTTGAACGGGGATATGGCTTCAATTTCTGATTACCTGCCAAGAGAAATGGTTGAAGGTCTTGACGAAAGAGAAGCAGACGATGAAGGGGGAGATGGTCAAAATGCAGCAACAATGCTTGCAGACGCCAGTGATGATGTTCTTTCGTTAACGGGTCTCGAGCTAGAGGACGTCGGCGACGAAACCCCTGTGTTAGACTTTGAAAACCTTGTCACCATGAACAAATTTAATTTCGCTGCCGTTTCGCTGCTAGTTGTCGTTCGCCGTCTGATAAGGGATGTAGTTGATGATGATAGAGCGATGAATTGTTTGCAGGCCTTGCGAAAGGCTAGTGTGGAGAGGAAAGAGCCGCGTTTCTTCAATGATTTTATAATCAGTTTAATCGCGAGATGCAAAAGAGAAGACACGACTGGAAATCGCACGCGTGCATTCTTTCGCCATGTGCATCGCTGTCACACCATTAATTCTACTGTCCAGGTCATTTCAATTGCGAAAAGGAGTGAGGGGGGATCGGAAAGTGCAGCAGATGAGGCCTACCGGGAGTTTTTAAGTAACGCAACGAAACGCATTCACGCAATTGTTTCAAAGGAACCTCATGATGTTTCGGTATCAGCCGTCACAAATTCGTAACTGGTGAGCGTAGCATTCTATTTCATTTGTAGTAGTTGTGCTCACATTGTGTAAGGCAGCAGTGGAAGAAAAGAGAACTAATTTAGTTGTAACTAGGTGTCCACATCATTTCACGGCAGTGGTCCGGGCTGAGTAAAGCAGAGAGTGCTGTCGTTTTGAATCGATCTGCCAAATGTTGCGAGCGAGTAATGCTGCTCGGCAATTCCGCCCTTCGTACCGGTAAATTAAGATTTCGTTTAGAGCAGTCTGTTGGTTCTTGCGTCAGTGAAATTTCTTTTCTTGATGTCGCACATCGCTTGGAAGAACACACAACGTGTTCCATTTCTGTATTCCGCCAAGAATCGAAACCTGAAAATGCTGCATTGGGACAGTTGTAGGGGTGCTGTTCCTCCGGTGGTTGAAAAGACTTTGTGGGCTGGCACTAGTGATCCAACTGCGACGCAAAGCAAAGGCCCACATGTTTAATTTTCGTCGACTGTGGCAATACCAGTCCCGTCGTCATCGTGGCGCAGCGGTGAGCATAGTGATGGTATCCCCCTTGAGTAGGATTCGGCCGAGCTTTGTGGAGGAACTGTTCTTTTCCACTACCTCAACAGCTTCGTCGAGAACAAGATTCATGTACTCATCGAAACCTATAATGCAACCTTGGATACGAGTTTGAGGGTTATCATATAGCCATATCTCCACTCGAGTGCGATTTTGCAAGAAGCGGAAAATGAGGCTGATGGGCTGAGTCATGATCTTCTGGGCTCGGGACCCCATGATGAAACCAATACTGCGAAAGAGCAAACGGAAGGAAAGTAAGAGACACAGTGGTTGGATCGCCTTTGAGAGATTTTTCGTTGCGCGGTTGAAGATGGGCTGACGTATGTAAGCAAGAAGTGAGCGAGCATGCGGCTTCAAGTACCACTGCTGAACGTTGGAGTTCAGCACTGCGTCTTCTGATTCGGTTGCTGTTTGACAAAGATGAGTACGATGGCGGGGCTCTGGGCAGCATAACCACAGCAGATGACTCGGCGGGAAATTTTGCAAGTTTCAAAATTTGTTAATTTTAGAGCTTATATGAAGGAATGGTCACTACGCTTGATCCGTCTGTGTGACATCCTCCGATTGACGAGCGTCGATTCACTGCAGACAAGTTGGGGGGGTCTATCTACAGAAGCTAACCGCAACCTAGGGACTCCTCTGTCCACAAGCAACTTTTCGTATGGGTCAATCCTCGCGATAGAGGAATCCACGTTATTTTCGCCGTCTCCTTCGGTTGGCCTTGAACCGGCGTTATCGACGGTTGCTCCTCTGAAAGCTAATTGCGGAACATCATGGTCGATATGCATGCTCCGGAATTGTCATTCACCGAATTGAATTTTCTGCTTCGAACGGCTACCGTATGTTCCACAGATGCGGAAGCGACGTTGCTCGAGCACGGCGAAGCTCTTTTTCGAGCTCTTGCTCAACAGCAAGCGAAGAGAGAAACCGGGAACACAGAGACTATTGCATATCGACGTGCAGCCCCAAGCACCAGGACGCACCCGAAACCTACACCGTCAGAGTTATCTTGCATCGAAGCGCTTGAACAGCACTTTGCCATCCCCATGCAGGAAGCGGCATTGCTCCTTCGAGACTTTTTGCATGATGCAAAGGGTGGAGGAGTTTCTGCTTTCTTGGATCATCGCTTTACCCTTGCAGATATCGCCCCTATGCTGGTTATTGAAGACTACAAGGTCATGGAAAATCGAAATGCATTCTTGACCCTTGTTACCATATGTGCGGGAGCGTCGCAGAGAAGTACGCATCCATACAAATACATTTTTGCTTCGTTTTTGTCGAAGAATGCAGAAAGAGTAAAGGCAACAGTTCTAAAGGGAGCAGAAGTTGCTTTACATGGAGTTGAAGATAGCGCAGGAAACAACCTGGCAGTTGTTGGGGAGAATTGGTGGTTCCTGGAGTTGCTTTTTGCATACTGTCTGCACAATCCTTTGATGCCATCCGACAGGGACAGGCTCCTCCAGACGTACCTGAGCGCTTTGAAGAAAGGTTCTGGTACTCTCATGCAACAAGCTTCGGATTCGAAAGGGCCCACCATTGATCTTGGCGGAGCCGAGGCCACAGCACTTTTTGTTGCATCTATTAATTTGTCGAACTGCCTTGCTGTTGTCGTTCAAGAAGAAAACGAACACATGGACACGGGTGTGGGACATCGCGTTGAAGGCCTCTCCTTTTCCGGAGAAAAAGATGCCATGGTCCGAGTAAACGCGTCCATGCTGTCTATGAGGGATTATCAGTCAGCGGAGATTGGAATATTATCTTTATCTTGGGCGTCGTTCCTTAATCTTCGCGAGTCCATTTTCTCAGGAAGAGGGAACTGGGAAACTGAAAATGATGTTGCAAAACGGGTCGAGGTGATGTTTGATCCAGCCGGGCATATGTCTTTCGCTTTAGAGAGGAACGTTTTTTCGAGCCTGCGGGACCTCGCCCAGCTTCAGCTACAAGTCGACGAATTGATCACTGGAGAATTGTACCGATGTCTTTGGGTAGATATGATCGCGTTCCTAACGGCTTTTCCACCGCAAAACTTTACTCAAGCACAAGTAGAGGATGTTGTTGAGTTAACTACGGCTTTATTGAGCAGAACTGACCATGGGACCTGGGTGGACACTGCTGAGAGCATTTGGGAGCGCGAAGGGACTAGCTCGGCGGACAAAGGAGCGAACGTCCTTCTCAGGCTGGCTTCTGGCGTATTTCCGCAAAGCTTTCGTCCTCTGGTTTCTCTTCTTTCAGCCCTGGCCCCCAACCGAGGTAGCGCGGAGCGTGTACGTGATTTCCTTGAAAATCGCCTTGAGTCACTAACCGAACACAGTGAAGTGTATCAGGATGCCCTTATTGTCCTCGATGGGGAGAAGGATTTTCCAACTGGTGAGTCTGGGGGTCTTAGGAATGCCTCTGGCTATGAAGAACATATGCGAAAGCTCAGTTGTCTTTGCATTGATGAGGATGAACTTGTCTACATTCAGGCAGGAGAAGACATTCCGTCGGATGTCTACCGCCGGGAGATTAAGAGGGGAACATTAGGAGTGTCGAATACATCGATGTCTGTTGTTACGTGGATAACTGAGTGGAACGGTTTTCAAGCTCTGAACTACATTCTGCGCTTCTTTCTTCGTCTGTTGAGGGAACATGAAGCGAGCTCAAGTTATGAAAATGATGTGCTAAGTGAACTTCTTCTATCGACGCTCGACTGTTTCAAACTGTTTGATAGGCTCTGCCGATCTGGGTCGAAAAAGCTTCGTTCTTTTCTGGCCAAGGACGAGGAGCGACTATCTGTGATATCAAACATAGTCGCGGAGCTCCTGGACCCAGGTGATTGGGCCCGGGGATCGTGGCTTACCAGGAAGCGTCGAGAAGTTCTATTGACTGCGTCGACAGCTTGCGTAGCATCAATGACGATGAAGTCTAACAGCCGAGCCCGTCACGCTCTAGAGCAAATGAGCTCTTTCAAAAATGATCTGCCGCTCCAGGCCACTATGTCGGCGTTGGGGGTAAGTGCGTTCCCATCCGTAGCAGCCATATCACGGGTGGCGGAATTGTGCTCACATAATGGCACTTTATCTGAAACTTTCATGATAAAGGCGTCGGACCCGTCAAGTTCAAATGGTGGTCGGGTCCTGTCGGACTTACTCCAATGCTTTCGTGGTGACGCCAATGTTGTTTACCAATTTTTGCGTGGTGTAGCTCTTCCATTGTGGCTTACAACTTCCGTTGTGGTGGACGCCGACCCAGACACCAAGTCATTGCATTGGCTGCTTCCAGCATGTAGCCTTCACCTTTTTTCCACACGCCCTAGTGATATCTTAAACGATCCAGCTATTTGCTCAGTGATTGCTTCTGTTATCACTGCTGCTGCCGGATCAGGTAGTGGGTGTCACAGGCAGACGGAGGTTACGGATACGTTTCTTTTCCCGGCTCTTCGTGCAGCTTTGGTTTCGTGCTACGAGGCATTCTGTCACAGAAACGCATTCCTTCAGAATAGGAAAGCAGTCGACGGGAAGGTCGATGAAAACAACGGGCAAGTGAATTCTCCGACGAATAACACCATAGAGCTTACTGCACTCGAGAAGGTCTTCTTGAAGCTGGATGTCATCCATGCTTTGGCCATGATGTCATCGGGATGTGCAGTAGGGTTGACGAGACGTAAGTTCTTCTCCATGTGGGCCTCATCCGAATTCCAGGGGTTTCTTCCAGATTCAGAAACAGACCGGTATCTTTACTGGCATTCGACAGAGAAAGATGCACGTTCTGAAACTGTTTGTTCCTGGAAAGAGTGGGTGCAAGACATGTGTGCGAGATGTCTGTCATTGCATTTTTGTTGCCTTTCTCACATGTCTGAGAGTGGAGATATCGTACAGGTTCCATGGCCAACGATGGAACGTATATCTCCCGGTTATTGGCGTGGAGGCGGTCAGGGGATTCGAGCGGGATTTGCAGATCGTATTACAAGAGGCCGATCTGTAGCAACCGTGGAGCTTCTCGTGACGGTGCTTTCTTGTGGCCAAAGGGCGGCTGCTCGGTCTCTGATGGGGCCTAACATCAGAATAGCGTCCCGAAGCGATGTCGGGGATATCCAATTAGAGCAAACGAGCGGTAAGCCGCCTTCTTCGAGCATGGTAGGACCAAAGGGGTCTGAGGAAAACGCAACGATATCTGCACCTGGAAAGGCAGAGGAATCAAGAGAGTTTGAACACGATATTTTGGCAGCTGTAGCCTCACTTCTACGCGAGAGCAGGGATGGGTGCGTGGAAACCATGAGCAAAGCACAGGTCCGTGCTGAAATGGGAAACAACACTACTCTCAAAGAATTGGGGCAGAAGTCACTTTTAATCGCGGCATGTGTAAGGTTTTTGAAAGTAGGATGGGAGTCGCATAGCAACCTGTGGTTTCGCAAAGGTTGGGGAGACCGAAAAATCTGGGATCTGCTTTCTAGTTTGCTGCGGTGTGACGCTGGTCAAGGAGGAACTAATGGAAAGGTAGACCTCGCCAAAACACTGCATTCCTTTAACGATTTCTTATCTACGGAGAGAATACGAACATTGTCAGAACAACTACGGGTGTCTAGCATCCCAAAAGTGGTGCTGAAGCAGAGTCTCACAGTTGACACTATTGCAGCTTGGAAGTCTATCACAGCAGATTGCTTGCACATATTTGCTTTCGAAATATCTATGCAGATAAGCGAGGCACTAATCGCTTCATCGCCCATCCCATTTCAAAATGACAATTCTGAGAGTTCTGATCGAAGGGAAATGCGAGTTTCTGCTGAGGTATTTCAGCGAGAGCCATTCGCTCGGTTTGCGTCAGTTTTCACAGAGCGTTGGATGCATGTGCTACTGACGATTGACGACGTCTATTTGCGAGGATGTGTAGCGTCAGGAGTTCAGACATCGCAAGATGCAATGCAGAACGATGTACAGCCGTTTACCCACACAGATCAGCATATTGAATCGATCGAGGACCGAATCCGGAAACTGTCGCTTTCGCTTGCGAGGGCGATTGGTCTTAATGATGAGCAAGCTGAGTACTTTCCAATTCTGAACGATTTTAGAAGAACTGGGGATGTTAAGACCAGGTTTGGAACTGACTACGAGTTTGATGTTCCAGCAATCCTGGCCTTTCTCGAAGCGCTTGAGATTGATATTTACAGTTACAGGCACTTGATTCTTGAGATGCTTCTGCTAAACACTGAACTGAACAGGAAAGATGTCCAGGTTGAAGTTATTACCGCCTTCTCTGAAATGGCCTCTGCTGTCCTTTTTGCCGATGCCTTTGCCCCAAATCAAAATGCTGCCCTGACTTACTCGAGCCCTCAGTTTGGTGGGAAGCTTTGCCGATTTTTATCAAGAATGCTAGTGTGTATGATGTCATCCGTCGCCAAGTCATGCCACACTAGTGCTATATCAGTCGAAACGGCAAAATTGATGGCTTCTTTATCGGCAAGTTTAACAACGGATGAGCTTCAGCACCCTGCCCTCACGTCGATTCGGTTTCCTTCGCCACCGAAATGTGCCCAGAAAGAATGTTCCATGAGTCCTGTTGCTCAAATATGTATATCGATTACTCGCACCTTAGCTTGCACGCAAACAAGTTTGGATCATCCCCAAGTGGATAGCAAGAGGCTAGATACCGTGCGTTGGCTACTTTTAACGGTTGCAAGGCTTGCGACTGGTACATCATTTCGAAATGCGGGAGATTTTCATGAGCTCGCGAAGTGTGCAACAGACTGTTTGAGGTTGAGCAAGCCCATACCATCTTTATACAGTGCTGCATCTGTTGCCATTTGCTCAGTACCTGAAAACCAATTGGATGACAAGATGACGGATTTCCCAATCAGTCCACGCTTTGACGCCGGCGCTATCGATACTGTTTGTGCGGCTGTTTCCGCTTTGGCACGAGAAAGTGGGAACAAATCGTGGAAGACGGAATGCGGCGTGGCTGCGTCTAGTCTTCTACTTGCAGTTTCGCACATTCACTTGGTAACCCCGGGTCGTTCAGGAGCTGGGCAGTCAAAAATTCTTCGACACTTGTGCGGAGGCAATATTCTAGCGTTTCTACCAGATTCGGAGACCCCAATAAGCACCTACGATGAAAGACAGGACTCTCGAAATAGCGCTCATCTTTTATGGTGTGCGTGCCTTCGAGTGGCGGGTAGAGTCATTCCTAGCGGAGATTGTCTCTGGGAAGGCAGCGCAGATAGGGAGCAAATCCTGCGAGACGTTCTGGAGTTCTGTTCAACAAGTCTCTTGCGAATTTCTCGGGATTCGCTTGATCTCTCAGGTGACTGGCCGATTGCAGGATTCCCATGCCCCACTGAAGAAGAATACTATCAGCATGGCCAGCAAAGTGGAAGAAAATACCCAAGCCTCGGAAGAAGTGAGGAGGCCGAGGCAGGGTGCTTTGCAATTTTCAAGCTTTCGAGCTATGGCTTGCAACTACAGGAGAATTTGCCAGAACTGCTGCACAGGACTGTTACTGGTCTTCTACAATTCGCCTATCAAGTCTACAAAGTTATTCGAGCTGAGCCAGTCGAACGATCAGTGAGGCCAGTAACGCAACGTGAAAAAGATCGAAGTCAGCTGTGGCGTGTTGACCGGGATGACGCTGGGGTCCATGCTTCATACGTACCAAGTCCACTGCCATGGACGGCGAGCCCTTCAAAGGCCGGTGGGCATACGGCCAGTACACCCCCACGACGCTCACCATCACAGGCTTTACGAGCAGCCATTGGAGGCAGTGGTGGAAACGTCAGAGGGAGTCCAGGCGGTATCATTCCTCCTTCGCCCGGAGTGTTAACCCCATTGTTCCAATCCCCGCTTGTTAGTAGCGCTACTCCCCATAACGGCATTCATCCTTCTCCTGGATCGCCTTGGGGTCCATACGGTTCTGGGATAATTACAGCAGGAGATTTGTATTTTGGAGAGGAAGCATCGAGGTCACTACTTCGAGCTCTTGGGTTTGCTCTTGGTTCGCTCCGCCGTTTTGCTGATGTGACAGATGTAATGCTGTTCAAACCGACGATGGTAATTTCGGGAAATGATGTTGGGTTGGGATTGCTCGTGGCCTTGCAATACCACGCATGCGGTGAGATTTACCGAGGAGCGCAAGAACCGCGAAGATCCTATCTACAAAACATAATTGACAATGCTCTCCACATGACGATGTCACATGTCCTGGCCTTCAATGACAGGGGATTGTTGACGCAGGGTGTTAAGGATGAAATTCGCAAGCGCGTAGCAACAGTCAGGTCACGAATGCAGAAGGTTGCACCACCAGCCCCGGCCTATTCCCTTATTCATGCTCCTGAGCTTGTGGAGTTTCTGTATCAACTCAAACCCAACGGAAACTAGGCGACAAATACAGGCCTTGAGCTGTCGAGAAATGCCAGGCTATCTCGGACCTTATTGTTGTTAAACATTGGTTAAACTTTCTCTCAATCAGACTGTCATATCTTCGGACGTTGACACTGTACTTGTACTGCACAAGACTAACTGCGGATCATGTGGATTATTTCTGGGAAGACTAAATGACTGACACATGTTAACGCCTACCACTCTACACTAAATTGATGTTACTCGTGCTTTTCTCAAATGCCTGAGGCGCACACTATTTCATAGTGTGGATGTCAGTACCAGACATGGAGTGGGTGCGAACCTTCCGCGGCACGTCACGACATTCGCGCAAGAATAAGGTGGCGGTGGTGCGCCATTTAGCGTAGCTTATAAGGTGTTGAGGGCGGACCAGACAGTGCCAAAGAGTAATAGTCGCCAAACGCAATACGTCGGGTGACATCGCTGAGAACATCTAGGGAACGAGCAGAGTGAGCCCCAAGCGTATCAATCTGCCAGAGCCGCGAAAGGAAATTCAATCGAAGGTGCGCAGACTCGCCGCGAGGTGAAGCTGTTGGTAACATTGAGAAGCAGTTGATTGATTAACCCAAAAGTTTGAGAGATGGGGAAAGTGCCGGAGCTTAGCTCTCTCTAGTGTCAATCTGACCGTTGTCCTACATTGAGGTCACTTTTCAACATGCTTTTTCATGACTTGCGCTCTCTCGGCAAGAATTAGAAAGATACCGACGCCACCGTACTTGACTTCTGCGTTGCGGAAGGAAAGATATATTCTTGAGACCTACATGTCCTTCCCGGTCGTTTTAGAAATGTCTGTAGCAGAATCTTTTTTGAGCAACCATCAAACCGTATCTTAGATAACTTCGAAACCAAAAACGCCCGTATTTTCTTCCGCTTGGTCAGCGATTGGGTTTTGAGTATGTGCAACCCCGACGAAAATGTGTTGTGTGAACTGGGGATGCCCTAAGCCCCAATTTGGACTTTCAATTCTCCAAAATATCGTCGGCTAGAGGCTGTCTTTACCTAAGATCTCGTGTTGAAGTGGATTTCAGCATCCTTTCCGCTTCCGTATATCGCTGTGTCAATCATACGATTCAAAAGAAAGCGTTGCGTATCCGAGAGCACACTGGTTCTCTCCAACAAACTGCGTACACCGAGGAGGGCAGGTATGGCAAACGAGTAGCTGATAAGGGCAAAGAAATGTCCGCTCCATGATATCAGTTCTGAAGGTCCAAGAAACGGGGTCATCTTGATAGCAAGGACAGGATTCCGAATAGCCATGGAAGCTAGAGTCTTAGTCAACCCACCAGCAGTGACGATATCTTGCAGAAATGGGCGTTGAACGTCTTCGCCAAGATCAGACATGGCTTTCATGTTCGACCATAAAACCTCGTTTATACCAAACTCGTCCAACAACGGGCCTGCCGTGGTTTGACCCGGTTGTACAGACATGGCCCTATTGAATAACCCAGACACGGATAAGGAAGGTAAGTACCACTGCAACGTTTGAAGCTTTTCCTTTGACAGCAGTGAATCATTCTTGATGCGCAGAGCTTCGTCAAGAGCACCGGAGATGCGACTCAAATGCCGCAAACAACACCCAAAACCACCAAAGCTTATTGGAGACTGAAGGCCCCCTGCGTCGCCAACTGACAATATTCTGTCAAACTTGACGTCAGTGGGGCTGTCGCGATAGTACGACGGAAAGAACCCAAAAAGCACTCGTTTCAACGCCATTTCTTCCATCCGAATACCTTGATATGTTGGCAAATACTCCAAATAGTCCTCCAATGCCTCCGTCAAGCTTTGTCTACCCTCGGCGCACGGCCCATACGTAAACATATATGTAGTCCTTGCGGCCTTCTCTCTCCCCACTGGGAACGCCTCCCAGAAGTACTGCGCAGATCTCCTCTTGTCAATCGGCTGGAACGAATAAATAAGATCTCCAGTCTCGTTCGCGGGCCAATCTCCAGTCATACAGCTTCCCACTGTGATGCACACACCATCTGGCTTGCGAAAATTCCTCGCTTGCGCCGCAATCGGAGAGAAAGCACCCATGGCATCGACGAGCACGCGGGCGCTCACAGACATATCCTCCCCACCTTCCTCAGTACCTATTAGACCCACACCGCCTGCGCCCAATGAACCGCTCACGGTAAGGTTCTTCCGCTTTCCAACACTTATTTTGACGGCATCGGGTCCCACTTCAACTTGCTCCACTTTGCAAAATTCCATGACTACGCCACCGATGCGCTCGAAATTGTCCTTTGCCATCGCGACCAATTTGTCTGGGGCAACCCCGATGTTGAGCACACCACTTGCTCCAAGCTCCCGTTGCTCTCCCTCCTGTGATGCAAATCCGATGCGCCCCGGTTCTGTGAACTCAGTGACGATGATCTTCGCGAGCTGGTCTTCCGACAAGACCGAATTGACGACTAAGGCCTGCAGTTCGTCCCGAGAAATGTTCCATTCTTGCGTCCGCCCGACAAGGGGCCCTCTCTCCACTACGGCGACGCGCCAGCCACGGGCCTGCAGAGCGGTGGCGTAAAACACGCCTAGGGTACCTCCTGCGACAAGGACGTCGAAATGGGGGGCATCGTTTGATGCCCGAACGGCAGTGGGGAAGGTCTGTACGAAGGGGGGGGATTTGGGTGGGGTGCGGGTGCGGGACTTGAGAGCGGCAAAGGCTGCGTCGGCACGCTGCAAACCAAGGAAGGGGTTGCCTTCTTCGGAACTGTTCAGGAAGGCTTCTAAGCGTGGGGAGGGAGTCTGAGACTGTGGGGAGGCAGTCATAAGATAAGAGGTTCGTGAGCGGGAGCGGCGGCGGGCATGGGAGCGGGGACAGCGTAGACGGAGGAGTGGGACGGTTGGGATGAAAGCTTGGGGGAGAGGCATTGCGTTGCGAGAAGATGCGGGTTTGGAGAGAAATACTGGTCTGTGCGGGTCAGAAATTGGTTGGTACGCAGACCAAGGCTTGTGCAAAGCGTCAAGGGGGACAATGGCCCTTTTGCCTTTTGCCTTTCCCTGCATGAACCGACATCGAGAGAGGTCGTTTTCGGTCGGAGATCCAGGACAGGCCTCAGTGTGCATCGGGCTCTGCTGTTCGGAAAGGAATTAACTGGTGGCTGATCGCCTCTTGCCGCCGACACGTGTAAACACGTCTCACATCACTTCAAACGTGTACTACATACCTGTCGCGTGTAGTACGCTCTGCTGTTCGGAAAGGAATTAACTGGTGGCTGATCACCTGAACTTCCGACTTAGTAAGAGGCAACAGCAGCCACACTTCAGGGCCTGGAGCGTGGGTAAGAGCCTCTTAGCCTGAAGTTCAGGGGTCTTAGCTCTGTTGCGCTCCAGGCCCTGAAGTGTGGCTGCTGTTGCCTCTTACTAAGAGGCTGCTGTCAGGCCAAGGAAGTGAAATGTTTTGAAAAAAAGGTTTAAAGGTGCATGGAACCTTACAGGTCCTGGCCAACGGGATTCTGAGAGCCTCCGGTTGGTTGCGCCATGAATATTTGGGAGCCACTTGGCCCTAGCCATTGGTCTAAAATGCATCTGGATATGCAGAACATCCAATAGAGGGGCGTACAACACATACCATTTGCATAAAGCGAGTGAACAACCCTATTACTGTAATCTATACAGTACCATCAAACGTTGATGTTTTAAGCAGCTCTTGGGGCAGATGTGTCTGGGGCTTAGGCGGTCTATTTTGCACGGCCAAGTCTCGCCGCCAGAAATGGCTCACCGGCAGGTAGACATGTACAGTATGTCGTCCCGAGCGCGACATTCCGTCTTGTGGTGCACGGGCCAGTCGTTCCAAGCCGTATTACTAGCTAGCCCCCGGTATTTCTCCACACTCGAGCATGTACCTGTACCCTTCGAAGGGTAGTACTGAGTTTGTCTCATGCAGTACAGTGCTTCCCACCAAATAGACCTTTTCACAATAGTGGAACTCGGTATTACATTGCAAAAAGTGTAAGACAAACTCAGGTTGCACGAACGAAAACATACTGTACAAGGCGGTTAAGATTACGGACCTGGTGTTCATGCATCAGAGATATATGCGTGTTGGGACGGAGGCGGTCCGTGCCAAATCAAGTTCACGATCAGCGACGTGTGCCCGGCGGGGCGGCGGCTCGAAACCTGCTGGGGCCTTGAAAACGCAGTATGATAAACGACCGTCCGTGGCCCGCCTGCCGGGCCAAGTCCAGAAAACAACAAAAATTAGGTACCTTTCAGACACGCAACGACCACGCTATGACACCCATGCACCCACCTCCCCCGTCCGCAACTGTGCACCTCGCTCCCCGCCGCCCGGCGTCCTCCCCCGCCCTCGCCCCTCCGCCATTTAGTAAACCACTTTTCTCGCTACCTCTCACGCCTGACAGGCCGCCCCGTCCTTATAGCTATTCTAAATTCTGCCCTCCTCCATTACGATTGAGTTCACCTCTTTGACGTCCCCTGCCCGCTCATCCTCGCTGAACACCCTGCGTGTGTATATACATTGCTCTGTTTCCCACCAAACTTCGTCAACCAACACTGGTGCACTTTTAGAACGCCTGGTCATCCATCCGTTTCTTGCATTCCTTCCGTGTCTCTAGACTCGCTGCTCATTCACGAACCCCCTACATCCTTGCGCTCAGCCTCAAACATTTCGCACGTCTCCTCTTGCGAACACATTCCTTGTTCTCCCTCTCGTACTGAGCTCAAACCGACTTTCCGACTGTACGTTTACCGTCTTCTTGTTTGTTTCTCTTAACCCCTTCCCAACCGCCATGACCGTTCGCAAGCCGGAGGAAGGTGCTCAAGTCCCGGAGGAGGCAAACCAACCGGCCATTTTTGGCTACACCAATGGTTCTCTTTCAAACTTTCACAGCAACACCAACCTCATGGACCTCGATAAGGCCCTCAACTACGAAATTCGAGTCGTCGCTGGCAATGCAAACCCCGTCTTGGCTCGCGAGATCGCCTCACATCTCAAAGTTCGCATGACCTCCGCCGTCGTATCCCGCTTCTCCGATGGCGAAACTCGCGTCGCTATAGAGGACAATGTGCGTGGCAAAGATGTTTTCATCGTTCAGCCCACGTCTCCTCCGGTCAATGATCATCTCATGGAGCTGCTCGTCATCATTGATACCCTCAAAAGGGCCTCAGCGAAACGTATTACAGCTGTCATCCCGTATTACGGATACGGGCGACAAGACCGAAAAGCTGCCCCTCGTGTTCCCATTACCGCGCGTCTCGTCGCAGACCTAATACAGACTGCGGGCGCTCATCGCGTTTTGGCCTTCGAGCTTCATGCCGGCCAAATCCAAGGCTTCTTCAATATCCCCGTCGATCACATGTTCGCACTCCCCGTCTTCGTTAATTACATCAATGGTTCAGAAGAATATCGCGCGATTCGAGCATCAAATCCCAATCCACTGGTCATTGTATCACCCGATGCAGGAGGTATGGAACGCGCTCGCCTGCTCGCAAAGTTCCTGGATGCGGCCCTAGCCATTATTGATAAGAGACGCTCCGCGCCAAACGTAGCTCATGTTCTACATGTCATCGGTGAAGTGCAGGACCGTGACTGCATCATCGTCGATGACATGGTTGACACAGCTGGTACCCTTACGAAAGCCGCAGTCGCACTAAAAGAGAACGGGGCAAAGAGCGTACGGGCTTGCTGTATCCATGCTGTGCTATCGGGTCCGGCTGTCGAACGTATTCAGAATTCTTGCATTGAGGAGCTGGTTGTCACTAACTCAATCGAGCTGAAACAGGAAGTGTACGAATCACTTTCTTGTATTACCAGGCTCTCAGTCGGCACGCTCATGGCTGAAACCATTAGCCGTGTTCATCGCGAGGAATCTGTGTCAACGCTATTTGGTGCCCACATTTAGGGCCTCACTTGCGGGCCGAAAATATCAAATGCCAATGAGACGTGGACGCGTTCCTGTCTTGTTTTGGATTTCTGCCACGCAGGAGTGGACACGAGTGGGGACATCAGTCGGTGGCCTAAAATTTCCACCCCTCTGTGTTTCATTTCTATTACCCTACATTCTCTGCGCCAATTGCTCTGCTCTATTGTTACTGCACGTAAAGAGAGAACGTAGGTTTTGCTTCACGAAGAGCTCTTCTTCGTGGGCCGTGCGTCAGCTGCGAGTCTCGACTGCAGTTGTGATGCGAGTATAAGTTCGGTGAGAGCCATATCACAGCCATTTTGAAGCTCAATTCTTTCTGACGAGGCGACGGAGTTCTTGACGAGATAAGGAGAGCCCTTTCATCCACGATGCAAGTTGATAGTCAATTTGCCGTGCCTAGCTGGTCTCGCACTTACTCCAAGAAGTCTGTCGAAACGTGAAGTGCAGACACAGAGTGCGATCGATCGAAGTATAGTCGGAAACATACAAATTGCCGAGGTGACTCGAATCGAAAGCCCTTTCAACGGTGGCAAATCAGATGCATCGGCCCGTTTGAAGACTGGGCAGTGATTGGATGAAAACCCAAATGGTGCTCACTGTTTGTGCGGACGCAACAGAGCATCCAGAACCAGAAGTGCTCCGCTCCCATACGATATAAATAAACTGTAATTTGCTGGTCGGCACGGGCCCCGCGCTGTCATCACTGCTCATAGTATCATACCGTATGATGACCTGACGTCCCTGCCGCAGCTCAGATCAGGGCAGATAGGTAGGCTTCCTGATCAATCCAAGTGGCCTTGGGAGCACGACCCCGTCGAGCAATGCTTTCTCCCCTATGTGCGTGAACCAGCATACAATTTTATGCTTCCTGTTCCGTTGCCTCTTGCTTTCAAGAAATTGTGCTCCCGATAAAACCAGCGGGTATCGATTTTGAAGTCGCCTTAAGGCTACAGGGGAGACTGTTGCCCGTTACATCCGGGGATAACTTGACGTAGACATTTGCCATTTTTTTGAGCGCCTTATCCCTCAACCAATGCATGGAATAGACCTCTTCCATGTACTGTACATGGAATAGTTTATTGTCTGTTTCTTCCTAAATTATTGGACGTTTCGGACTGTGAAAGGCTGTTACGAGAGCTATCTTCAAGGAGCCATATCTTGAGTTGTAATCTTTACTTTTAAGCCGCCTCCATTTCAAGTGTTAGATTGTAGTCCGCTCTCCCGTTTACCGTGGTCGAAACACTCATCAGACGGCTAGGTTTGGTTGCAAGCGGGCAGGAGTCTGCGGGAAACCCCGATTTTCGCAAATGTTTCAAATAGTGGACAATAAATGCCATCTTTTAATGACCCCACCGTGGACTCTGTACAGAACGATTCATATTTTCCTCTCCTGCATCAGGAACCTCACTCCTCACCCCAGAGGCTTCCCAGACAATGCCTCAAGCCTTGCTTTCCCTTTGAAGAATAGAAAAGGGAACCATCTATAGAACAACATAGTGCTTTACTCTCTTGATGGTACGTTGCGTATGCACTTCCATGTCAATGCTACATCAAATTGTAGATTAAAACTCCTAATAGCTCAACGTCTCCTTCAACAGTTTTTGTGTAACCGATAAAAGTAGTCATACGACATACACGAATTCTTGTTTCTCAATTGCAGCCTGATGCAGACAGAGTTTGCGTAAAACTCCCAGTACGCCAGAAACTAAGTAGGTATATACCGCTTCGGTTAGCATTCTCAATGTAATAAGCGTCAAAATCTAAACTTTTCGTTCGCATTACCACGGCACTTGACATCCGGAACTATAGAAATATCCAACCTGGGTTAATGTCGGTTACCTATAACTTTTCGCATGTTTTCTTCAAGACTCTATCCTTGAATAAGAACATATATGCCAAAAACACGGTATTAGATCGTTATCAGAAATGCATGTGTCCCTTAAAACATTTATTGCATCTCGTAGCACTACATATGCTTCTCATTAAATGTGGGGTGCTAGTCTGTAGAAAGACATGCTGTTTCAGTTCATCCATATAGCGATGATCATATTTTACTCAATGCTCTAATAGAAATAAATCTAATTCGTACACCTGTACATTGTTTTGCGCTCCAGAAGCCTTCGTATTCTTATGAGACATATGAAGACCCTGTTGAGCTCCAATAGATTACAAACGTTCGCAGTAGCGATAAATGTAAATCTGTACATAGCAACAGCGCGGACAGGGTCCTCGACGATTCACAACTGCCACTTTTAAAACCGATGCAGCAAATAGCATATAATGTTCGTCCTTTTAGAAATGCATACATGTATCTCATGCTTTACTAGCAGAGCTTTGTAATATTTTTAACCGATGCGTCGCATTGCGATTAGGTGATTCGGAGAGGCCCTACTACCTGTTTGCCATTACATGTAAGAAACTTCTGTTCAAACACGATAAACACATGATGGGAAATTGTAATACGCCAATCGTTCAACCGCATAAAAAGCTGTTCAGAAACCCATTTAGTAGTTCATCCTCCAAATTGCTTTACCGTTCTAATTGAAGCATAAACCTCTTAATGGTCAGTTCGAACTCAGCTTTTGGGGTAAAACCTCCATAGTTGCACTGTCTCTCTGTTTAGATAAATGTGCTCTTCGAAAGCCTGAAAACGCTCATATGAGCGTTTTTATACCTTTGCAGCAAATCTCGTACTATATAGTACGAGATTTGCTGCAAACGTATATTATATATACCATAGTAGTGTGATGTATATATCTTGCATTTAATGAGTTGTGATGCACCTGCTACAGTTATTTCCTCCAGACCGTGCCACTTTATACGCATCGGCAACGCCTGTTGCGAAAATTGCGGGCTCAATCTGAAGATATGTTTGATCTTTGTATGGTATAAGTGCTCGGCAAAGCCGTCTTATTTTGTCGGCAGTAAAGCTGAGGGTAGCTCTGATGGGACTCAACATACATTTAAAAGAACTTCAATGCTCTCAGAAATTTGCAGGGATCCTTACTTTGCAGGTTGTCGACTTCCCCAGATAAAACAGTTTACGACTCAAAATAATCATTCTCTTATTCACATAAAAATGGATAACGGAGGGAAAGGGGGCAGCACAACAACCCCATTCTTTTCCATGAAATGAAGAGCTTCATTCTTCCAACAAATTTAGCACTCCAGCTCTGCGATACAAAATACGATCCCGACAACTGAAAGAGTGTAGTTCTGAAGCTGTTCAATATGCTAACAACTGTAGCTACAACCATGTACGTTTTAAAGTCATGCATATCAATTTAATGTTCCCGAAATGGTTTCTTACTACTTGACCCACTGTACTTTTCGTTCTCCGCCGCATGCAACGACACATTCACAACACAGTCGTTCAGTCCCGCGAAAGCTAGACGGTGCTGCTCGTCGTCTGACACGCGGGTCTGAATAATGAAAGGCAAGTAAATTTTGCAGCGGGACCATATATCATCGCTTTGTTTCTTTCACATTTTCTTGAGTTCATTTTCGCACGCCTGTAGCATCGGATGATACATTTCAAGTTTCAACTTGGAATTAGGATCTAACCACTTGCGGTGAAGCACATCGAACTGCGTCATCGACGGTAGCCACTTAACAGAGACCTCCAGACAGCACCCATCGTCAACAACCCCAACCTCAAGCGCATCTTCTTCAATTCCAGCAGGAAGCAAAATAGCTACATTCAGCATTCGAAGCATGGATACCGGTTCAAGCCAGACATAGAACAAATGAGGAAGCTTGAACGTCTGCCATCCACTAACACCATCCGACCCATCCCCTCCGTTCTCGTTTTCTAGGGAAGACTCAGAACCATCAAACGAACTACGGCCATCTCGTGGCACAGCCCGCTCCTCCACATCCCGGTTCGTGCACTTCCGCTCTAGGGCCCTAGCCTCCAAAACGTCATCGAGGTCCTTCCCTATTACACAAAATACAAAGATTGTTATGCAGAACAGGTTACGTTAGAATATAAATACCATATAAAATAATGAAGACAGGAGCATTTGGGGAACTTAAACGGGTTGGTTGTCTTACCCGGTTTCTTCCCAGAGAGTCCTAAAGAGGCCTTAATTTTGTTGTACCTTGTTCGGAAAACTGCTAAGCTATATTCCTGGAATGCAGTTTCGGAATCCCAAGCAGCGCGAGGAGTTTCCGTTCCCTTCAGATCACCATCCTTCAATCTTTTGAACAGAAGATTTGCGGCATCGCAGTTCGCTGTGAATATTTTCTTCATTCGAAGAAGATTGCAGTACAATTCCGTACCACAACCCCCCGGCGAGATGATAACCGCGCGGGAGGTCGGGTGCTACTGTAGCGAGCAGGCGTACACGCGCCCGCCGCCGTGCACAGTAGTACCCCAAGGGTCCGACGTGAGACAGCCGGTAACAGCGGGCGTGGTCACGGGTAACACGTGGCACAACCGTTAGCCGGGATCGTGGCCACGGGCACACGTGTATAATCCGTACGGTGGCTAACTGGTAATTAGTAGTTAATGGCACAAATTAGCCAATTTAGCACAGTAGCTGGTATACAGTAAGTAACAGCTACTGTAGCGGGGCAGGTGTCCCGGCGTCCCTCTTAGGGGTTAAGACCGGGGGCCCCTGCCCCGTTCCAGTAAACGGGAGGCAGACTCGCCTCCCTTCCCTTTACGGCTAGTTGCTATCCCGTTCCGGTTTCCCTTTTAGTCTCAGGCTCCTAACTCCTGACCGGCCGTCCGGATCTAACACCACTGACCGGCTGCGCGTCACCGGCCACGTGAGCCTTCCCTCTTTTCCAGTCCTTCCGTACGGTTTGCGTTCGTGCGTGAGTTACCCAGCGGCGCGCGCTCCCTTACCTCTAACCCCCCTCGTTTCCGAGTGGTCGGGACGAAGGTAGTTATACTACACTTTCGTACTCTTGTGGAGGGGATAACTACAGAGATTGAGCCCGCACTGGATCACCAGCGCGAGCAATTACCGATCGGATTGAAAGAGGTCGAAAATCACCGCGTCGATCGCCAGTGATCATCGACGATGAACCGTGCGGATTCCGCCGGAGAAGATACCGCCTCCGGGCGAGCAAGTACCCGCGGTGGCAGGGGCGCACAGCGCCCCCGGGTCGACAATCCGGAAGCCCTGCTACGCCCGCCGTCTACCAGGGGTCAGAAGACCCCTTCCGTTTCGGACACCACCGCCGGGCTACCGGCTGGTGGTGGAAACCGCGTACAAGTACTGTACGACGCGTTACTCCCGCGACTACAAACCTGGATGGAGGATTTCCTCGCTGAGGAACTACCTCAGGTCGTCCAGGTTTGCCTCGACCGAACGGCACCAAGACTGGTGGCGGAGCATGCGGACACCGCGCTCCGCGCCCTGCTGGACGAGAAGATCGCCCCCCTCGTACGCGACGAGGTGGTGGCAGCGCTCGCCGCGGAAGAGGACAAATCTCCGACCGCATTGGCTCTAAAGGGAGCTATTCGCTCCGCCGTGGCCATCCGTCTGGCCACGAAATTTACCGAAACGGGAGGCGCGGTACCGCCGCCGGCGCCGCGCCGTGAAACCGTTCGGGACTCAAGCTTTAATATCGCTGATCCGATCGGCGCCGTACCGGGATTGATAGGATGGACCCTCACCCGGAGGGCAGAGCCATCTATCTCCCAACCGTTCACGGTGCTACAAGGAGGACCACAGAAAATGTCCTCCC